TTTATTTTCAAATAACAGAATGATTGATATTGAGGCAGTCATTGATGGAATAAAAGTCTATATGACGTTTATTTATGGGGATCCTGTATTAGAACGAAGAGATTTAATCTGGGAACATCTTACGCGTTTCTCAACAACAAGAAATGGATTTTGGTGTATGATCGGTGACTTTAATGAAATTACATGTCATGAGGAGAAGGAAGGAGGTAGGCAACGCACAGACAGCTCATTCTTACCCTTCAAGCAAATGTTGAGCGACAGTGGTATGCTAGAGTTTCCCTTTACAGGGAACATGCTATCATGAGGAGAAGGAAGGAATGAGGTAGGCAACGCACATACAACTCATGCTTTAATGATATTACATGTCATGAGGAGAAGGAAGGAGGTAGGCAACGCACAGACAGCTCATTCTTACCCTTCAAGCAAATGCTGAGCGATAGTGGTAGGCTGGAGTTTCGCTTTACAGGGAACATGCTATCATGAGGAGAAGGAAGGAAGGAGGTAGGCAACGCACATACAACTCATGCTTTAATGAAATTACATGTCATGAGGAGAAGGAAGGAGGTAGGCAACGCACAGACAGCTCATTCTTACCCTTCAAGCAAATGTTGAGCGATTGTGGTATGCTGGAGTTTCCCTTTACAAGGAAAATGCTATCATGGGAAGGAAAAAGAGCAGGGAGGACTATGGTTAGATGTCGCCTTGATAGAGCTGTTGGGAATGAGGACTGGCACGGGAGTTTCTCTCATTCCAAAGTGCAGTATATGAGGCTCTGGAGATCGGATCATCGTCCAATCTTAGCTGACATTCTTAAGAAGAAACTAAGAAGATCAAAAAAATTCAAATTTAATAATAGATGGCTGGACAATGAGGAGCTTAGGGCAGTCATACTTGAGGGATGGAAATCACAGGATCTCCCACCTAACGCAAGTATCATGGAGCATATTGCAAGTTGCCGGCGAGCTTTATGCGACTGGAAAATGCAACATAATCTGAACTCGGAGAAAAGTGTAGAGGAGTTGAAAGAAAAGGTGGATCAATTTTCTTCAAATGATGATTCCACCACATAGGAGATTGCGGCAACTTTAAAGGAACTATCTGAAGCTCTTAAGGCGGAAGAGATGTTTTGGAAGCAGAAGTGTAGGGTATTTTTGTTAAGAGAAGGAGGTAGAAATACTAAGTATTTTCACGCCCTCACAAAGCAGAGAAGAGCGAGGAACAAGATTACACAGTTACTGGATGAAAATGGGAATGTTTTATAGGATGAGGAAGGATTTATAGTCATTGCTACAAGTTACTTTAGACACATCTTCCAATCATCAAACCCTGAGGATATAGAGGAAGCATTATCTGAGGTATCTACAACCATCACATCAGTAGACAATGAGAATCTCACAGCTCCGGTAACCGAATGGGAGGTCAAATTGGCTCTTTTTGCAATGCATCTAGAGAAAGCCCTAGAGCCGGATAGAATGACTGCGCTATTCTACCAGAAATTTTGGGATAATGTAAAGGATGACCTAAATCTTATGATTAATCAATTCTTGTTTGAAGGCACGTTATCTACTGGTTTAAATGACATTAACATATGTCTTATTCCGAAAGTAGATAAGCCGAACCAGATGAGCCAGCTTTGTCCTATCAGTTTATGTAACGTTAGTTACAAGATAATCTCTAAGGTTGTAAGCCAGAGGTTAAAAAAGGTTTTACCAGATCGAATTTCAAAAACTCAGTCAGCCTTTGTTGCTGGGAAACAGATATGTGACAACATTATGATTGCTCAGGAGATGTTCCATGCTCTAAGAACCAAACTGAGTGGACGCAACAAGAGGATGGCCATTAAGACAGACATGAGCAAGGCGTACGACATAATGGAATGGTCCTTCATCGAGGCTACCATGAGAAAGATGTGATTCTCAGAAGTCTGGATAACCTGGATAATGCAATGTGTAACATCAGTAAAGTATAAGGTCCTTATGAATGGCCAGCCAAGAGGGAATATTGTCCCGAGAGAGGTCAAAGGCAGGGGGATCCTCTGTCCCCTTTCATTTTTATTCTATGCACCTCGTTAGCCTTCTAAATCATGCAGAGAATCAAGGAAAGATAAAGGGATGCGCATCACGCGTGTGTGTCCTTTGGTATCTCACCTTCTCTTTGCTGATCAGAGCATGTTCTTTTGCAACGCGGAGCCCTGTGAATGTGAAGAAGTAATGAAAGTGGTCAGGAAATATGGACAGACTTCAGGACAATGCATTAGTTTCGATAAATCATCTTTACTCTTTGGTAAGAGAATTGGACAGGATGTTAGGAAAGAAATTAAAGACACACTTGGGATTCAGAATGAATGAAGGATGGGATCATATTTGGGAATCCCAGAGGATATCAGTGGATCCAAATGCAAGCTTTTTGCCTTCTTAAAGGATAAGCTAAGGAATGGAGTAAATGGATGGACGAGTAGGTGGTTATCAAAAGGTGGCAAGGAAGTTATGATTAAGTCAATCATGCTAGCACTCCCAACCTATGTAATGTCTTGCTTTCTTCTTCCGCTGGAGATTTGTGATGCTTTAGCTAGTGCCATTGCACAGTTCTGGTGGAGTTCGAATCCCCCAAAAAGAGGTATTCACTGGTCGACATGGGATAAATTATGCTTGTCTAAAGAGGAAGGAGGGATTGGGTTCAGAATAATTCATGAGTTTAACGTGACGCTGTTAGCCAAGCAATTATGGAGATTGGTTCAAAACCCAAATTTTCTGGTTGCTCGAGTCTTGAGAGGCCGGTATTATCGATTAAGCTCGCCTTTGCGACAGCTTACTGTCACTAACCCATCGTATGTGTGGACAAGTATATCAGCGGCGCGAGAATTATTATTGTTGGTAGTTAGACAGGAAATTCATTCGGATATGAGGTGAAAGTATGGGAGGATACATGGATTCCCACCATACCAGCGAGATCAGCGTCCCCATTTGCACCGACTGTACGTCCGAATATGAGAGTGAGTGACCTTATTAATCAAGAAAAAAAGTCTTGGGATCTAGGATGGTTGGAAAACTAAATAGATTTTTCTGATATGCCACTCATAAGGAGTATGACCATTACTACAACACATCGCAGGGACACGTATTGCTGGAGCTATACAAGAAATGGGCAGTATACAGTGAAATCTGGATATTGGGTTGCACAGAATATATTGATGAAGGAGGAGGAACCAATAGTTTGTGAACCTATAGTATCACAAAACTCCAAACACATGCCTGGAAGGTTAAGGCACCCCAGAAGATGTGCCATTTTATATGGCAAATAATAACAGGTCACGTGGCTGTTACAAGCACTCTGAACTATAAACATATGAGATGTGATAATCATTGTCCACGATGCAAGTATGGTGGGCCTTATCCTCTACGCCTACCAACTCTACCTTGTTTCCATTACAGAGCACATATGCGAATATGGACTATCTCTTCTGGAGGAAAAATACCTTCATGGAACCGGAATTGGACAGGGATCCTTATCCCTAGCTAATATGGTATATTGGAAGGCTCGGAATGATAAGCTGTTCAGAGGAATCGATAGAGATCCATTGGAGCTAGCTCGTTATGTAGAGAGTGAGTGTCAAGCCTGGTTCCAAGCCAACGAATAGATTATACCGCCATCTCAAGGAAATATAGAAGTTGAAAGCCAGGCCATAAGTATGGGAAATATTTGTATGGTAGACGGTTCTTGGACCTCTACATCTCAATTCAGTGGATGTGGTTGGGTTTGTAATGACAGTATAGGAAATAGTCAGCTAATGGGTATGTGTAATATGAATAGAGTGTAGTCTGCTTTGCACTCTAAGCTGGAAGTACTGTGATGGGTAATGGAGAATATGCTTCAACATTCGTCATGTCAGAGCTTTGGGATGGACTGCAAGGCGATGATAGCGATGCTCAGAAATTTTTATGATTGGCCAAGCTTCTCAACGGAATTGGAAAAGCTTATGACGCTACGGATTTGTTTCCCGGATTTCAAGATCTTATATGTTCCTAGAAATCATAATGAGATTTCTGATTCTTTAGCTAAGAGTGCTCGATCTTTCTATCGGAAACTTATGTATGTTGGTTGGTATATTCCAGTCTGGCTTCCCAGATTACTTCAAGCTTGAGTAATAGATCAACCTTTTGATGCAAAAAAAAAAAAAAAATCATTGTTAATATTTTTTTGTTAATCTTAAGAACTATAATGTAAATGAATAAACTTGTAAGATTTTGTTTTGAAACCTGAAGGAGCTGGCTTCACCGGTACGTGTCTGCTGTCTTCAAGTAGCTTTATGTATTTCTCTTGAGCTGGGACTACTCTAGCTGGGTTTACTAGTATCTCAAACGCTGGCTCTGGCTCAGAAGCTTTCTTCTCAACCGTTGATGTGCTATCGACCTAACAATTCATGGAGACAATAAAGACACTCAAATCCCAGACGATCCCAGACGATCCCAGACACTATAAGAATAAACCTTAGAAGTCTAGTGATTATGTGACTAGTCAGACAATCAATCACAGAAGCTACGAGAAGAGGCTAAAACATGAAAACATTACTTGCATAACGTCTCCTTCCTTCTCAGATCCACTTTCATTGACAGTCATGTGCATGACCTCATATTTTCAAATCACTTTCACTTACCTATGAGCAAGGCCAATTATTACTTAGTAAGTCTTGGATTCATTTTGTTTCGAGAGGTTTTTTTGTTCAATTTTTATTTTGCTAAATACATTCAATTTTTTTTTGTTGCTCCACATCTTATATATGGAACGTGCCCGAAAGATGAACGTAAAAGGAAGAGAAAAGACAAAATTCTGTTTAGTTTGCAAAATGACATGATGCATTTTGAGTATGCTATTTGATATTGCATCCATATAACAAAGTCTTCTTCCAACATGTTACTATATGATTTTCACTCACCTTTCTTATATATAATATCTAACAAATTAATAACAACAACAAAAATCCAAGTCCCTCCATGTGATATTCACTCAAACTTTTCCAAATCTCTCGTCTGTGAATACTCACTCTGGAGATCTTTCCCTTCTTCCATCATCCTCTTAACCATTGCTGCCCTCTCAATAACCCTATCAACTGCAATCTCAAATGCATCTTCAATCTTTTCCGGTCCAACTAATCCCGGTTTAACATATATTATCTTCGGTATAATCTTCACAACTTCATTCCTCATCTTAACAATACTCCCCAAATCAATCCTACCCAACAAATTCCTGAGACTAACCGTTCCATTCTTCATCCCTTTCTCCGGTATGTAAACAGAATACTTCCTAAAATCCTTAGGAAAATACCACATGTACTGGTTATAACCCGAACCGGGATTAAAGAAAACCGGTATACAGCCAGCCAAAATCGAATCAAATATTGATCTTCTAGTATACGAATCTCCTCTAGGTTGTAAACAGAAAACCGAACGTTGAAACACTTCCATTACCTTAACCGGGTTATCGCAATCTTGACCTGATTTATTACAATCAAGAAACTTGCATCTACCGTGAGACGCAAGGCATTGCTTTATAATCTCCCCTCTTATAGATCCATCCATGTTCGGCCTTGGAGCTCCAACAAACGAAAACAAATACTTCCTCTTCACAGTCTTCACCTTCATCTGCCATCTCCTAACCTCGGGTAAGCTCTTTGGATGGAAGTAAGTCGGATAAGGAACCGCAAACTCGTTAGTCCAAGCAGTGGTTTCGATAGATAACATCGTCATGTTAGCAAACTCTGGCAATAACATCAGTTTGCTTCCCCATGCTGAATCTTCATCTAAACCTCTCCTGAAGTCCCAACCGATCCGTCCTGTTACAAAGAAGTGATCTCGACCGTACATCTTCCTCCACTCGGGTCTCTCTCTTAGCCATTTAGCCAGTTTTATACCTAGTTCGTCTCTAACCGTTGTATTGTATCCCCAGAGGTGACGGCCTACGTCAAAACCCGCGTAGTACGGGACGTAGAACGCTGAGGCTAGAGATGAATCGTTGGTCAAACACTCGTAATGTTTCATCCTCTCTCTGAAGATAACCGCTAGCAAGAACTGGTTTGTTGCGTACCAAGAACCGGTTTTCGAGGTTAAGACACGAGATGTCTTGTTGTCTGACTCTGAAACTTGAGGGCCGAGGCCGGAATTGACCATGAAGGGACACATGGTGAACCATTTGATGAGTGTTTTACAGTCTTTGATGATGTCGTCGTTGAATGTGCTTGGAATATTGTGCATATATATGTACCTTCCTGCACAAGTTTCCTTTTCTTCTTCTTCTTGGGGATGTTTTGCTTTGTTTCCATCACTCTCGTTCGCAAATCTGGTGAGGTTTAGGGGTTGAGGATGTGAAGAAGAAGAGATGGAGATGAAGAAGTTGTTTACTTGATGAGTGATTTGGAGACTTTTTCCGAATAAATATGATACATGGAATTGAAACAGAACGAAGAGACAGAACACAGACATAACTGAGATGACAACCCAAAGCCTTGGAACTGGTTTCATCATCGATCTAAGTTACTTTTAACTCGTGTGTAAGAATATGGTAGTTGTTATATAAAACAAAGACTTAAACAATGTGGTCTCAGAAAAGTTGCATCTTCTTTGTTAATGGTGGTTTTTATTATGTTTCCCAAATAAAGAAAATATCATTTATGATGATTTTGAATTCAATGGATTCTATTGAAATACATCTCTCTGTTTTAAAGAAGTTTCCATCACAGACACGCAAAAATGATTCTACATTTGTCAAAACTCAAAAGAGATCTTGACTTTTCTTTTACACAGGAATTAATAGGGCAAAAATTACCAAAAGTTAATAATTATTTGTTCTAATAATATATTTGCAATTTAAGAGTATACCAAAAGTACTTATTTGATCGTTCAGTTTCAACTCCTTGATTTTAATTGAATTTATTGCTGTTTAGAAAACATTGTCCAGTGAACCATTTATGCTTAGTATATTGAATGCAAGAAAACACTGTTCTTTGAAGGGAGATTTTATATTTGTAGCAAATTACAATTATACTCCAGTATCACCCTCTTTGGGAAAAAGCTTAACAATACAACAAGCAGCTAATCTGCTGGAAATAATCTTAATCATGCCAAGGATTAGAATCTCTATCAGATTTCTGTCACAATTAGCTGAATCTGGATTCATCACGTACATGGTTAGAAATAAAAAAAAAGTATTAGAGGTGGACATGGAATAAAATACATACAAAAGTACGGAAAGAAATTTGATTGTCTGCTTTGTCATTTATGGTTTGAGTTTTAGTTGAAGACATATATAGGATTGTATATATTGAAATTGTTCTATGCGGATTATTAACTCTAACTAGGTGTTTTCCTGCATTATGTGCAGAAATAAAAGTTTTAAAAGTAAAGTTTAGTTAATTTTTATGTTTATTAATTTGTTACATTATTAACTTGACGTTAGTTATATGTAAAAATTAAGATAAAATAAACAAATTTTATTTAAATTTATATTTAATAATATATATGTATATATTTAAAGTTTAAATTTTAGAAAGATTTTTTTTTTCTTTTGGTTAAGATATGTTAAACTGGATTCTATACAATTAAGAGAAAATTTTGTTAGGTATATAAATATAAAAATATAAAATGGTTAAATAATATTTCTAAAATTAAAAAATGTTATAAATAAGACTAACGGTAATAAGATTAGAAAATTATATTTTTAAAAATACCGCATAAAATTTTTAAAAATACTAATAAAATTTATATACTTATAAAAATATACTTGAAAAATATTTAAAATTGGTAAAATATTATTATATTTTTCAAAATAACATAATTTTGAAATTTCTATTTCTAGAAAATTGTAACAATTTTTGAAAACTTTAGTATACAGAATATATAATATAAAAAATAAAACAGAATAATATTTTTAAATTTGTAATTCTTTTTTCATTTGGTTAAGATATGTTAAATCAGATTCTATATAATTAAGAGCAAATTTTGTTAGGTATGTAATTATCAAAATATAAAATGGTTAAATAATATTTCTAAAATTTAGATGTTATAAATAAAACTAACGGTATTAAGACTAGAAAATTATATTCTTAAAAAAAACCGCATAAATCTTTTTTAAAAATATTAATAAAATTTATATAATTATAAAAGTATACCTGAAAAATATTTCAAAATTGGAAAAAAAAATTTATTTTTAAATATAATAAATTTTAAATTTATATTTTTAGAAAATTGTAACAATTTTTGAAAACTTTAGTAATAAAAATTATATAATATAAAAATAAAATAGAAAAATATTTTTAAATTTGTAATGTGATGTTTGAATACATCCCTTATATATTAATTGAGAAACATTTGAAAAGATGTAACCTCAAGTTTGTATTAATTAAAAAGTAACCTTGCTTAGTTGTCAATCAATTAGCATATCAATTAAACTGACGTGGCGGCTTTAGGTTCAATTGAAATTTACTAGGGAAAAATAATTAGAGACGCATATAACGCATGTAACATAGTTTATATATTTATATATATCACACGCATGTAATGGAAGAAAAGGAAAATATACGATTTGATAACGATTTGCATATATTAACTATAATAACTTCTTTCCTTTTAATTTATGGAAGTGTATATGTAAAATGGAAAATACTTAAATTCAAATAATCATAACGTAATTTATAAATCATTGGTGTAAAGTTTTGTTACACAAATATGCAAATAATCATAAAATCATATGAGTAGAAACCTCATTTAATAAATATCCATATTAAAAGTGTGCTATATTACTATGTTTATATCATTTAAA